CTCTTAAAGCTGTAGCACCAACCCGACTGCCAGGTTCTCGCGTGGCATGTGCGCGGATCTAACTTCCATTACGACGATGCTGTACGCTTGATTGTGCTTACGGTAGCACGGCATATGGGTGGCTGTTTCACCCAGTAAGATACGGAGGTGGCTATCTTCGCTCTGCGCGGACGAGGAGCAGGCGGGCGTCATCCATGTTGCGGGTATAGATCGTTTGGATAAAGTACCAGGATTGTCCATTGTCGACCAAAGCGGTTGTTGTCTACGGCACCTCCATAGGCCGGGTTTTGGCCCGCAGACAAGCTTTTCGGCGCAATTCCTGTGCACGTTCTGCGCCACGCCATCGGCTTCATACTGCAAGAGTGATGGTCAAAGGCTGAGTGCTGGCGACGACTGGTTCATTGAAGTACCGAATCAAGCTAAGAGGTTAGCGCCCACTGGCGCCATGCGGGGAAAATGGGGGCGCCCAGACCAAGGAGGCCGGGGGATTTCCGCGCTACTGTTCTACCATTTGTAAGATTGATGTGCGACGTGACGGATACCGAAGGTATCAGCACCGACCTGAAAATAGGGGTTCTTACGATATATCTCTTGTCTCACGTACTGTACTGGGACAGGGCAAGAAGATCTGAACGGTAGCCTCGATTCTTATGTTCTATGTCAAGACACTTCATCTTTCTATCAAGATCCATCGTCGAAGTAGGATGAACGTGTACTGTGTGCCTCCCTTAGTTTGGCGACCTTGGTGGCTGCGAGGATATGACCCGTCCTGAAGAATTGCCACATGATGGGCTCACACTGCAATTGAAGCGATTTCGGCAAAGCCTCGAGACCATATCTGTTGATACCGGTGGACAGAAACAGCACGCAAATGTTCGTGACACCCAGCAAGGCAGGTGTACGATAGTGAGACGGTCAGCAGCCTTCGCGTCAGCCGCATTCCTCAACCCAGATCTACCATGTGCGATCGTGTTTCAAGTGTTCCTGTTCCGGTTCTACACGACTCGGCGACGACCAAACATCAGGCCGTCATGCTCGGCATTCAGCTCAGGCCAGTGATCCCGTCTCTAGCCCAATCTCTTTTCCATGCCCTTCCAGCCTGCGTCCTGGCTCCCTATTCCTCATCCAAAGCCACCACATCATCTTTAGCACACCCTCAGTCCTGCTCAACAACGCCTTCAATTCTACCTGCCCAATCTCGTCCTCCTTCTCACAAAGAAATTCGTCTAGGGCGGACACCTCGTGCACCAGCTGCCACGGTGTCTTCCACGGCGCTGGCACGTGGATAGGAGTCGCGAGCCATTGCGCGAAGCGCTCGCCGCGGGGCGTCTCATTTTTTTGGAAGATGGATTGAGACGGTATGATATTGGGTGAGTCTGCTTGACGCTCGCGGCTCAGTGGAATGTACTCGGATCGCGGGCGCTGATCATCGTACCGTAGTTGGCAGGTCTTGGGTGCATTGCTGTTGTGCATGTGGAAGTGCAGAATGAAGCTTCGGTTGTCGATGATGGCGTTCGAAATTCCGACGCGGGTTACCCAGAGGTAGAGATCTTGGAGATTGGACAATGGTTGTACAACCTTGGAAGAGGTGACATGCCTGACCAGCATAGTCCACCAATCTGGATGAGGACCAGGGGTGGGACTACTAAGTATGGAGATGAGGAGCGACGGCAGGTCGCGGAAGGGTGGGCGCGAAGCACTGTTCCTGCTCAGGTCTGCGATGGCTTGGGCGTGTTCGGAGATTTCATTCAACAGATCGTCCGGGTGGTTCTGGTCCTCCATGATCGAGCTAGCGTTGAAGAGGCGGCGGGCAAATCCGCTCGCTTTGTTTTCGAGGCTGCTGATAGGGAGCGGTAGTCGCTTCCTATACTGTATATTATCAGCATCTATATTGTATGGGTTGAGGATGGAGAACGTACCTGCTGATTTGTCTCGTCTTGCGCGTCACGATCTGACAGGCGGTTGATACTCAGGTCGTCAATAGCCCGTGGAAGTAGGGCACCAGGCGCTTCATTTGTATGGTCGTCCTGTGCAGGACCACGCCATCCTGAAATACGACCAAATAACCCGCGACGTCCAACGGTTTTGGAGCCGCGCCCTCCACTGTGGCACCTGTCCAAGACATATCGAAAACTTCTTGTATAGCAACTATATCTGTCATCAGCCATGAAGTTGTTTTCCTCATGTCGCTCGAATCTTGCAAATAGTTGTGCATGCAAGTGACCGGTTACATAATCGTCAAATGCGCTCAAGGTAGGAGGTAGTGTTGACAAATAGCGTATAATCGCTTCTTGAGGGACGAAACAGCAAAAGGAGCTATAGCAGCTATATATATGTTGACGCTCGTGGTCCCTACACGTATCAGTCTGCGGAGTGTGTGTGGTCGTTAGTTGGTGCACGCGTATGGAGATGAGGGAAAGACTCGCGCGTAAGGAAACAGTCACGCTGAAAAGTGGGAAAACAACATTCAATCTGGGAGAATGCCAACAGAAGACGTCGTTCACAGGTGAGCAAGGGACACGCAAGGAAAAGCCCGGTAGTGACTCGAATGCGTACCGGAAAGCCTTCTTTTTGCTGTTCTGTATGCTCTGAGAGTGCTGTGGAGTAATTTACTCATCTTCTTCAGTGTCGCTGGCAGGCGGTGGTGACAGCGATGATCCAGAGCCAAAGGATGGAAAGACGTTATCGACCGCATCCTTCGCTTTCAGAGGCTGCGGTGGCTTCCCAGCTTTCATCTCCAAGATCTCGAGTAACCCAAGCAGCCGCTCAGAACAAGCGTCCAACTGAGTCTTACCTTCAGCTTCTTCTTCCGCATTGCCCCTTTTCCCCTTCCCAGTACCGTATACACTGTGACGAGCTTTTATTCCTGCCTCCAAGGCGTTGCGCAGTGCTTCTGTGGCTTCTAGCGCATCCTGGCTCATCATGTAAACGAATATCTGCTCCAGTAGGAGCGATATTTTAGCGTTTGCTGCGAAACCTTGCGTTGTGCCCCTGAGCGGGAGCAAAATTGATTCAACATGGTGTTGCGTTGGCTCGTAGCGAAAAAAGTCTGGAATTTGTCCGCTGACGAGAGGTAGGATTAGATTGGTGCAATATGCTACATGGATTCGTCCCGTAAGTTTCGACGTCGATAACATAACCTGGAAGAGCGCAACAGGTAGGCGTATGAAGTCTTCCAGGATATTGTCAAAAAGATCGCTCAGGGTGGTGAAGTCTGCTGGAAGGGCGGTGGATACTTGTGCGAGCTGGTCATTGTTAGTGAGGATTGAAATGAGGGTTTGCATACGCACCAAAGCTATGAAGCGTTGTCGAAGCTCGATAGCTTGTGCTCCACCCATCTCTTCGACAGACTTATGTAGCGCCCTCGTGCTACTATTTGAAAGACCATTGTCAATCTCCTCACTTAGCTCGTCATCGCTTGCGCCATGAGATGCGTTCGCCATGTCATCGTCGCTTCCGTAGTCTGCCATATCACCAGTCTCGAAATCGACTACTCTTGTATGTTCTGAATCCTTCCTCGTCCGCTTCGGTTTCTCAGTCTCCTTTGGCCAGATTTCTGGATAATCTCTCATTGACTCGACAGAGGCTGCCGCCAGGATGGCTCTGACGATCCTCCGCCTAATTCCACGATTCACAGATCCAGCATCGCTGATGATATACTGCCAGAGGATGCTCTCTTGTAACACTGCCTCTGCGTTCGAGGCGTCTTTGCTCCTTTTCGCACAGAACTCCCAATCTACTTCCAGGAAGTCCAGCATAATATCGAGCCAAAGCTTCCATCTACCCCACCGCTTTCTGTGCGCTACCGAGCAGTTGAATGCCCAACCTACAAGCTGCCAGAAATCTTCCGCTCTTGTCCATATGCTCTCGGCGTTGGCTGCATCGCCAGCGATGACCTCGATGTCATCACCAGGGCCGGGTGACGGACTGGCAGTTGCCTTACGACTACCACGTGCACGCCGTCGCGAATGCTCTGCTGGGAAGCTGAGTGCTTGTTTGATTGTGGGATACGCTGCCCCGTCGATGGTGGTGTGGACGCATTGTAGATATCGCAAGGCAGCGTCAGCACCCTTTCGTGCGTCTTTGTTACGTGATTTGGTCGTGATGGGTGGATACACGATCAGTGATGAGGCGAACGTGAGGTATGCTGGCGGTGCGACGAAGCCAATATAGGGTTGCGCGGGGGTGGATATCGATGTGCCCGCAGCGAGCAGGTTGTAGAGGAAGTCATAACCGCTGGCGTCTGTATTGCAATAAGCATAAGCAGCACAATAGCACGTGATCGCATACACTGTCGGCCCTCCAGGTACGCTTTCGCATGGTTGCATAGCTCGTATGAAGCTTGTTTGGTAGGTCGCCTTTGTGCGCGCCGTGGTCGCGCGCCTACCGCTTCGAGAGCTGCAGATGGTAACGCACAGCCATTCAGCTCTGAAGCATCTCGAGAAGTCTTTCTAGGAGTGTGTGGCTTCGCTGTTGATGCCATATCGGAAGTGAAGTCATCCAAAAGTGGTGGTGGGGCTGATGTGACGGTGTTGATCCTTGCGCATCGCGTGGGAAGCACGTGGTCACGTGGGCTACCTGCCCGATTCAAACCTCAATTTAAGACCATCGAAGTCCGTCACTCATGATTCGAGAAGTCTAAAAGTATGACAATCGGCAGTGTTATTGCCTCTAGAGTCTTGCAATAGCTTTGTCGTTGCATAATATCGAGCATCTGAACTCGTCGGGGCATCCATTACCTTGAAGTGTGCGCGAAAATCCCTCAGTGAGCTCAAACGACAGTGCACGAGTACAGTTGAATTAAAGCATGCAGGCGCAGTTATTGCTTGCATATGAGTAGAGTATTGCTTGTTTCGCCTTCCTGAGGTTCGTGTGGTGGCCGGTCACCCCTCCGTGCGCAAAAATAGCGTGGGTCGCCCAAACTCATCCTGCACCCGCCCCCAACCTCCCCAACGCTTCTACGACACTCCCAGAGCATAAAGAACAGCAAAAAGAAGGCTTTCCGGTACCGGGAGTCGAACCCGGCTCTCGTCGGAGCGCGAACATGGTCAGAAGACCTTGAAAGCGACGGATGCTAGCCGATACACCATACCGGATTGTTTGATGAATATTTGGTTGTTTGGATAAAATATATACTTGGTGTAAAAGAAAGTCAGTTGAAGTGAGGAATGACCTGTCGTGAGGTTTGCCTCGATCTCGAGAAGCTAAGGCTTGTCCGATACCAGTGTTCGGCGAAGACCTATCCCGTTGTGGGTCAAACTTCAGCGCACAAGGACCTGGTCTTGAGTGGATGCGCCCCGCATTGACTCCCAACCCAAAAACTCTATCCAGAGGGACCACAACGCACGATAATTAGTCAAATGTTATCAAATGAACCCACGAGTCACTACAGCTACACGTGTGGAATAAGATTTTACTCTTTCTATCTGTAGTACTGTGTGATGCACCTCGATGCCTTGTATCGTCACCTGCGACGGTATACGACAAAGGTTCCGAGCGGACTGCAACGGATCAGTCGTGCGCCAACACAGGGCTTGTTGTAGTCGCTCCACTACTACGCAACGAAGAGGGGCGACTGGGAACTTAAGTGACAACTTGCAAGTGCGATGGTTTGGGTGGTGCATCGTCTAAATGCGTTTCTTCCCTTTGTCAAAAGAGCCGTGACAAACGCTATGGACGTTCTGATTTGCCCGTCGTCGGTCAGGGGCCTTGGGCCGGCGAGGGGTTGAAGGGGAGTCCGCTACACACTCGCCTCGCCACCAATGCGTGCTACGTCAACATTATTTATTGCAACCCGAGGATGACGAACAATGAGCTCGAAGGCCTGAATGGTTTGAATTTTAGGGACGCAAGCAGTTTCCGAGGGAAATATGTGCTTGATGTTCTTCTTTCTGTAATGAAGCGGCTTTGTTCGTCAAGCGTTGAAACAATGGATCGCGATCAATGTACCAGTGCATCGGACACTATCGAACTGCAATCGTCCACAATATCGGTCGCCATGAGATGAAAATATTAAGAAGATTGCGCGAGATTTTGAACTCATCGTTTATCAAATCTCTCGTACATCGCATTCTTTCTACACCAGCAATTATGGTTACAGCTCTGCAATTCTTTGCGTATCTCGTGACTTGGGCGATGTACCCTTTGGGTATCATCTCTAGCTTAATGAGAATCTACAGCTGCAAATATGTCACGCGTATCTGGAAACCGGACGATTACATGGGCGTCCTGGTCGGTGTGACGCTGATGGGCGCATTGGCATTCTGGCAGATCGGCTTGAGTCTCAATTGCGGAGGGTAAATCGAATAGCATCAATGCTGTATATTGCCAGCTAACAAGTTCTACAGACACCTGCCGAATAGATGCAACTACTTCGATCCAAGCGGTGACCTCGTCAGGGTATGTCACGTCTCAACAAAGCAGCTCCTCAACTCATTTCAGTATAGTACCTCTATATCCTGCCAATTTACTATCATTTCATGCATTTCCTCATTAAAAGCGCCTTTCTGGCGTTCTATCTACGACTCTCCCCAAATCGAACCTTTCGGCTGTGGGTGGGAGTCGGCTTTGGGCTTGTGTACGGCTCGCTCCTCATCGGCATCCTCATCCTTGTATTTCAATGCGTTCCGGTCGCTTCAGCCTTGAAGCTGGCCGATCGCTTGAAATCCCAATGCATGAACCGCGAGTTCATTCTGTATGCACCAGCTGCCACAGTAAGTACACCATTTCATTGCCGTCAATTTGTTATTGACTTCATTAGAACATCGTCCTTGATATCTATGTCTTTGTCCTGCCCATCCCGACGCTTGCGCGCTTGCAAATGCCTCGTCGGAAAAAGTGGGGTGTCATCGCCGTCTTTCTTTTCGGCGCTGCGTCCGTTTTCATGGGCCTCATCCGTTTCCACTCCGTCCAGAGGCTCTTGAACTTCCAGACTACCTCGGACGGTGTCGGGGAAATTATCATTGTCGTCGCACTTGAGCTCAATCTCGCCGCCATCGCTGTCAACTTGCCAGCCATTCGTGCGATCTGGGTGAAGAGCAAGAACGACTGCAGGGCCGCTGCTCTCTCCAGCGGCCAGTATAGCAAGACTCAAGGCAGCTTGGCCACAACTACTGCCGCACCAACCACTCCTAGACTTGCGCAGGAAGCGCAGATTATCAAAGCTACGAGAATCGAAATGAGTTCGTACCCGAATCCGTTGCGTGATTCTCCGCTTTCTGGCAGTCAGGAAGAGCTGTGGAGGAACATTGACACAGTGAACGACAATATTCCGACGCGACATAAAACAGTGAATGGCAAGAATGAGCGGTTTACCTCGATCGAATTGTCGTAGTTTGCTTGGAACTCATGGGTTCCTCTAATCTTGCTTAATGGTAGAAGCATTAGTCTGTATTTGTCCTCGAGTTGTGCACACGTTTGAACATTTTTGTTGGGCAAATTGGGTTGTTCGACCGAATAGAATCCATAGTTAATAGGAAATTCTTACTCATCACATGTTCACATGTTCAGGTCTTCGCTCTCCTGGCTACTCCCATCTGCCTTCTACATGTCGCGCTATTTTCAAAGAGCTTGGGCCGTTCATAAGGAAGTACACTTTCAAGCATGTCGCGCGCCTCGATGTCATGTACCCGGCTTTCTCAAAGTGCTTGCCGGAGCATTTTCGTCGTATATCTTGCGGCATGACAAACACGGATTATCTCAGTTTCCTAGGCTATCAATGCGAACTCTATACAGGCTTTGTACGAAACCTGGACCGGGCCTCGATTGGCTTTTTGACGAGGTGCCCAACATTAAAGCATCTGCAGTCCGACTTCAAGCGCAGTATACACGCCAACTGGGAGTTTATCTTCGAGCAGGAGCGCAAGGACATTTTTCACGACTTCGCTCATGAGATTCGAGCCATACAACCACTACTGTGGTAGCACCTGTAAGTATCTGGCGTTTTGCCTGATCTCGGTCATTTCTGATAATGATTTAGACCTCCAGTCTGTACATGTGAACATCCATGCTCCTCGTGGAAACTCAATGGCCCGTTCCTGGAGCGCAAAGTTGGCTCCAACTTCGACCAGGCTCGCAACTTGCGGGATCACAACCATGTTCAGTTCAACTGCGAGGACTAGGCAACTTTTGTTTTTAAGTGCCGTGCTGAAGTCCGTTGAGAATATGGATACTAGTAAATTCTGAATTATGTTGGTGGTTGCCAATCTGGAGAAAGGGTATCAGAAGAGGGAAGGGGGACGGGGTGGAAGTGGATGGGGCAGTAGGGGCTGAGGATGAGGTGGAGGGTAAGGATTGGGAATGGAAATTGAAGTGATGATGTCTAGAGAGCACAAATCAGGTTGGTTGTGGAGATTTCGGTATTAGGAAAGGTTTTGTTGTCGCCACACTTTCGTTTGATGAATCGTGGATCAGGATCTTTTGTGACACTTCCATAGAGTACATGCTATAATACCCTGTATTTGTCCGTTGCCAGGTGCCCGGGTAAGGGGACAACACAAGCGCGCGACGTCCATCGCCATGGCGACACTTAGTCGTACAGCTTCTCTAGCCGACGTTGCACTACCACGCGTCGCGGAGTGTGCAGCACACCCGATCGTAGAACGTTGCGCAAAGTAGCAGAAATTCGGGACATGGGTATGGTACACGACACATGGCGCTGTTCGTTGCACACAAATGCACAATGACATACGCGTCGCAATCGAGTCCTGGTCCATCTGCTTGTCGAGTTGATCATCGCTTGCAATTACGCAAGCTGTTCAAGATTGTGAGATGTGTGCGTGGGGGGAGGGGGGGGGGGGAGGGGAGCAAGCAAACAATGCACTGGTTGGAGAGGCAAGTGGAAGTACAAAAATGACATTCTATATTCAAGCGATGTCGACGCGTTACATTTTTTGGTGTGTCGACTCTATATAACTCCGGACAAAACAAGTACAAAGGAGATCACCTAGCCGCTACTAGCGTCTATATCGCGATCCAAGAAGGAAACAACATACTTAGAACTGAAGAACTACGCGCGGATCTACAACTCCTCGTCGTCATAGTTTTCGTCAATATCAATTTCACGAGCAGCCTTCGGTGACGGTGTCTTTGAAGCCCGCGTGGGCGTTGTCGAAGAACGGTCGGGAGTCGCGACGCGCGATCGGTGTTCAACAGTCACAGACTGCTGAACGACAACCTGCTCAGGGACAACGACTTCGGGCTCGCTTGACTGATGCACCGACGCATTCGCAGACTTGGGTCTGTGAGTCTCAATGACATCAGCCACAGCCTCATGAGACATGGCGACGACCGCAGCCTCGAAATCTACTGCGCTAGGAGATTTGACATATGGAGAAGCCTTTGTGGCATCAGCTAGTGATGCAACACGGGATTTTGCTGATCCGAGGCCCAAGGGCTGGGCTTGCTGCGAAGAAGTGTCTGCAGGCACGTCAGAGATGTCAGAGCCAGAGGACCAGCTCAAAGTGCGACGAGGGGGTGTTGAGCTTGGGACACAAGGAGGGAAATTGCGAAGCTCCTCCGGGTTATTGATACCTGCGAGGTCCAAGAGTGCCTCGTCATCCTCATTCAACTTCGGCTGTGCAGCCATCTTCTGAGACGCTTGCTTTTGAAGCTCACCTTCATTGTCCGAGTCCTCGATCTTGGCCTTGCTCTTCTTGGTAGGCGACTTCTTAGGCCTCTTCTTGACAGTGATCTTCTTCTGCGGCTTCGACTTCGGCGTCTTCTTCTTGCCCTCACCGTCAGACTCATCACCGGAACCATCCTCTTCACCCTCGTCAGCGGCCTCGTCAAACTCCTTCTCGAGCTTCTTGTCGGGCTTGCCGAAAGATTGCTCGGTCTTGTTGGCGTTGCGCTTGCGTAATTCTTTGCCTGCAACCGACTTGTCGGTACGCCATCGAACATTCTTGGGAGGCTCACCAGCATCGTATGCCGGCTTGTACGTCATGTACTCATGACGAACGCTCTCAACTGTGCGACCCGGGGAGAACTCGGTGTAGGTGAAACCCGAGGCGCCGATGTAGTCTTTGCCCATGAAACGATCATTGTGGCGCTCAGTAAGCTCCCAAATGGAAGCATCTGGATGCTCATTGAGAAGCGC